CTCCCCTCTTTTCCTTGATCTAGTATCAAATCCTATTATGAAGTGCAGGCCTCGGTCTCCCCGGGATTACACGGGCGAGGGGGAGGCCAGGTAAGCGAAGACCCAAGTTTGGGAGAAAAAGTTATAGAAAGTAAAGAGCGAGGAGGAGGAGGGGAAGGCGCGTCTCGCCACGGCCCCTCGGAGTCCGGGGGAGCGAGGCATCCATTCGAGCCACGCGCCCACGGGGGGGGGGGGGGCGAGTGTGGGCGAGGGGACCGAGGCGGCGGGGGCACATGGTGGCTCGCAGGTCGGACGTCGGGCTTACTGCACTGCGTGCGAGCAGCACTGGCTCGAGCGAAGAGCACCTCAGCGTGTGAGGGCGGGCGTGGCAGGACCGAGACGAGCAGGAGACCGATGAGAACGAGTTCCTCCTGCTCTCGTCGACGCCGCACCGCTGGGACTGCCCCAGGCTGCAGCCCGTGCGCTCCGGAGCTCTACTCTCGACACGCCACACCGACGCCCGCCGCGCCGCCGCCGCCTCGCCAGACCTCTCCCTCCCGCCGCTCGACCTCGACCGCTCGCCCGCGAGCTCCGCTTCGGCGTGCTTGCCGTCTGTCGTCGAGCTCAGGAGACCCCGGTGGCTCGGTAAGCGCAGCCCGCACGGACGTGCGCGCGCCGGAGATGCCGCTGCTCGGCTCCTCCGCTCGTTGCTGCTCGCCGCCGTTCGTGCGGCTGCTTCTCTCTCTCTCTCTCTCAAGCTCTTGCCGACATGCAGGCTTCCTCCGCCGCCGTGCCCTGGCAGGAGCAGCGCGACCCGTTCGTCGCCCAGGTCTCGCTCCTCGTCTCGTGGTTCGTCCGCGTCCTCTACCAGAGCCGCCTGCACGACGCCGACTGGCGCTCAAAGCGCAAGACGTCGCTCCTGAGCATCGCCGAGCAGTTCAAGCACCACCACGAGACGTGGCTCGGCGACGAGCTGCGGCGAGTGCTCGAGCGCCTCCTCTCGACCTACGTTGGCCTGTTCGCGCCTCAAGCGCCGGAATTCTTCGACTGGTACTCGGTGCGCGCCTCCCTCTCTCTCTCTCGCGCGCACACTGCCACACGAGCACGGCCTGACACGTCCTCCAACGCAGCTCACCTATCGCGAGATCGGCCGCAAGGTCGGCAGGTTCCCGCTCGAAGGTCACGTGCGTCACTCTCTTCCTCCCCGCCGCGCGTTCGCGACGTGTCCTGACCCGTCTCAGGTCCCGCACAGCCATCTCTCTCCTACGGGGCCAACAAGTGGGAAGCGACCGAGTCTGCCCAGGTCCGCGACGCCGCTCGCAAGGCCGGCACCGCCTTCTACGACTCGGACACGCGCGGCAAGCAGTTCGAGAACGAGTTCTGCTCCGACGCGGGCGTGTCGATCCTCAAGCTGCGCTGGCTGCCCGAGAAGGCGCGCGAGCTCTGCCTGCGCGAGATTGCGGCGCTGCCGGGGTGGGTGCCAGATCTGCCGACGGCGGCGACAAACGTCCTCGTGCGTCGCTCTCGCTCTGTGCTTCTCCCAGTCGAGCCCGTCGAAGATCCCTGACCAGCTCTCTCTCGCCCTCGTTCGCAGCCCTCGCCAACGTCGACCATGCTCTATGCCTACGACCGCTCGCAGCCGGCCTCGTCGCGCCTCGCGCGCTTCAAGGCCCTCGTCGACGCGCTCCTCCTCCTCTACTGGCACGCCGTCGCCATCTCTCGCCTCCCCGATTCGACCCTCCCGCTGCTCGAGGCCGCCGCCCACGAGCTCGCAAACCTCTCCGAGGCCGACAAGCAGGCGTTCGGCGACAAGGACCTCGCGGTGCAGGTCTCGGCGGTCGATCATGCGCGCGACGTCCTGTTTGCGGCGTGCGAGGCGTTCGAGAAGGGGTGGCCGATGCGGGACGGGCGGGGACTGGTGCGTTCCCGCACTCCTCGTTTCCCCCCTTGTTCCGCCGCGGCATACGCTCTCGTCGACAGACAGCTTACTCGTATCCCTGACGCTCGCAGGCCAAGGACCTTCAGGCGGCCTTCCACGGCGTCGCCCCGGAGGCGCACGCCGCGCCGCACGAGCCGCTCGTCGAGCAGTCGCTCGGCGTCGGTCGGGTTCGAGGGAGGATCGAGGGGCGAGCACGGCGGAGCAAGTTCTTCCCCGAGGCGAGACGAGGCGCGAGGTAGCTGGACAGGGAGCAACGAGGCCGGTTACAGCTGAGCTGAGCGTGCGAGCGAGAGAGAGAGAGAGAGAGAGGACGAGCGAGGGATCGTCGAGAGCCACAGCGAGACGGGCTCGAGCACGCTCTAGGACGGCGCGAAGCAGTTCTCGACAGGCTCGCTCTCACTCGCCGACCGAGAGTCGTCGAAACCCGGGAGCGCGACCATCTCAATTCCGCCCTCTCTCTACATCTTGCCCCTCGCCGCCGTGGCCGCCGCCGCCGGCGCGCCCTGGGCCGCCTCGATCCCTCCTCGAGCACTCGCCGCCACCGGCGCTGCGAGGCCCTCGCGGCAGATGAACTCGCACGTGCGCTCGATCATCTCGGGCGTGCAGGCGTGGCCGCTGCGAAAGGGGAGAGGGGCGAGGAGAGGGTCGGTGAGAGGGTCGACGAGGTGGGCGGACGAGCAGGAGAGGAGAAGAAGGTGGGAGGCAGAGAGCGCGGGAGGACGCACGTCTTTGGCTGGACCCACGCCTCGACCTTGCACCTTTTTGCCTCGTTCTCGAGCCGGGCGACAAACGCCTCGGTCCCGCCGTGCACATAGTTGACGAGCTGGTCGTCCTCGCCGCTGAGGACGAGCACGCTGCGGCCGTCCCACCGCTCGAGCTCGACGTTGGCCGGGTCCTCGCGCGCAAAGAGGGCGACGAGCGACGCGGGGAAGTAAGGCGGCGCGAGCGGGAGTGGGCCGGCTGGGGGTGGGAGGTTGGACGCGCGGTGCGAGAGGAGGATGTGGGTCGAGGGGGAGCCGATGATGGGGACGCCGAGCGAGATGCGTGGGTCTGTGGGCGAGCAAGGGACGGGGGGTCAGTGCGAGGGTCTGAGGAAGGGGCGGTCGCCCGAGAGAGTGATCGAGGGACGCACCGTGTGCGAGAGCGAGCCAGGTTGCGTGTCCGCCGAGCGAGATGCCGGCGCAGTACCAGTCGGCGACGGTGCGCTCGTCGTTGGGGAACAAGGCGGCGGGGAGAAAGTCGACGAGGAACGAGACGTCCCTCGCGGTACCGACCTGCATGGCCATCATGTCGGCCGCGTGCGACGGGTTGTCGAGGTCGTGGGGCTCGAGGCCGGCGTCGAGGCGCTCCTGGTGACGGCGCTTGCCGCCCTCGAGCCAGCCGAGCTGGCGGTCCTTTGCGACGAGGCGGTGGCCGTGGTTGCGCTGGTCAAAGGTGACGACGACGAGGTCCTTGACGGTGGTGGCCTGGTCGTGCGAGTACTGGACGAGGCGGTCGGCGAAGCGAACCATGAGCTTGTCGTCGGAGCGCTGGCCGCGGCCGTGGAGGAGGAAGGCGACGGCGACGGGCTTGGTCGCGGTTTGTCCCGGTTGCGGTCGGGTGAGGTGGTCGAGGCCGTAGACGGTGACGGGGAGGCCGCCGACGACTAGGGTGGCGGGCATGGTGGAGCCGAGGATGCCGGAGTCGAAGTTGGGAGGTGGGGAGCGGGGGGCGTGTGAGCGACTGGGCGGTGCGGCAGGGCTGAGGTTAGGTGTGCGGGGCGCAGGTCGCCGTGCGACTAGGTGCAGCGGTGCTACCGGTGTGCCGGTGCGAGTGGAGGAGCTGGGAGCAAGAGCGAGGGCGAGGTGCTCCTCATCAGCTCGACGAGGCGCTCTCTCCCTCGCCGCCCTCTACCTCGAGCCGAGCTACAGCCACCACCCTGGTCGCTCTCGCCTACTCTCGATACAGCTGCCGCCATTCACCGCTCGCCCTCCCGCGATGCCGGTCACCGCCGCGGTCGTCATCTCCGAGGTTGAACCTCGCCCAACTCGCCGCAGTTCGACGTCGCCCTTCACATCGCACCACACCCCTCCTTCCGACTCCGACCACTCACCCTGGCTGTGACCACCACCGGCGACCATGCCTCGCTCGGGCGACACCGCCGACAAGCCCACCTCGGACGACCCTCACCAGCTCAACGAGGCCATCCGCGTCGTCAACCGCCGACACGAGACTGAGGCCATCCTCACCCACGAGCTCGAGCAACGCGACTATGCCCGCGACGTGCGCAACCAGGTGCGCGCCCTTGTTCTTCGCCTCCTCCTCTTCCTCGCTCTTCCCCGACTCGAATCGACCTCACTCACCTCGACATGCTCCCCTCGCAGTCGGTCTACACGGCGTCCCTCTCCGTCCTGCTCGTCGGCATCGTCAACGTCCTCATCATCTCGTGGGAAAAGCGCGTCGTCCTGAGCCTCGTCGTCACCGGTCCGTCGTCGACTCTCCCTCACTCGACACCGTCCCCCTCACCCTGTCCTCACGCACGACAGCACCGTACTGACACTCTGCTTCTTCCTCACAGGTTGCTGCTACCACGCCCTCACCCAACGCCTGCACGGCCTCTCGCAAGATTATGCCGCCCACCTCGCGTCCAACCTGCGCGAGCCGCTCGTGCACCCTCCACCCTCATCGTCGACCCCCAACAGCGACAAGGCCGACGCCCAGGTCGAGTTCGAGTCGGCCGAGTGGCTCAACGGCCTCATGCTCAAGCTGTGGCCCATCATCGACCGCCAGCTGTTTGTCGCCGCCGTCGACCTCATGGAGGACGAGATGATGGCCCTCATGCCGTCCATCATTGTGCGTCCCCCCTCTCTCACTCCTTCTGGCGCTCGGTTGCGGGCGCAGACCGCCGTAGAGCCCGAGACTGACTCGCCGCACGCGCCCGCTCGCAGCACTCGGTCAAGATCACGTCGCTCGAGCAAGGCACCCACCCGGTCCAGCTCCTCGGCATGCGCGTCCTCCCTCCCCAGACGACCAACCCGGCCACGTCGTCCAACTTTCACGTCCCCTCGTCGTCTTCCTCTTCGCCGACCCCGGAGCCCGTCCACCTCTCGGCGCCGCCCTTCACGCGCGCGCGCCACGCGCGCACGCACGACGCGGCGGGCTCGACGACGAGCGCGTTCGCCGACCCGGCCCTGCCGCGCCCGGCGCCGTTCGCCGCCGACGCCGACGAGCAAGCCGACGACCCGGACCAGGTGCAGGCGCTCGGTGGTGGTAGTGGGGGCGGCCAGGACCTCGGCGAGGAGGGCCGGCCCGCGATCGAGCTCGAGGTCGAGTTTGGGTACAGGAGGAGGGTCGAGAGGAAGGAGGAGGACGGCGGCGAGGCTGAGAGGGGCGAGGGCAAGGTCGAGGCGAGCGACCCGACCGACAACATCCACTTTGTCGCCTACCTCGGCATCGGCGTCGTGCGTCCCCCCTCTCTCTCTCTTTCTCTACTCTTCGACGATGAGGGCGCCGAACGGTCGACTGACACCCTCGTGAGCGTGCAGGGCAAGCTCACGACGGTGCCGTTCCCGGTCCTCATGTCGGTCGCGTCGCTGCGAGGCGCAGCCCGCATCCGCCTGTCGTTCACGCCCGAGTTGCCGTTCGTCAAGACGGCCGTCGTCAGCCTGCGCGAGATGCCCGTCGTCGCGGTCACCGCTCATGTGCGTCCCCTCTCTTGCCTCCTCCTCCTCCTCCTCCTCCTCGCGCCCGGACCCATCTCTGACCAAAGCCTTCCGCCGCGCGCGCCCGATACAGCCGCTCCAGGGCTCGTGGGACGTCGTACCGCTCCCGATCGTGCGCACGTTCGTCGACATGGCGATCCGCGCGACGCTCGCCAACCTCGTCCTCCCGAGGCGGTACGCCATCGACGTGCGCAAGCTGCTCCTCGGCGGCGACGTCGCTGTCAGTGCGTCCCCTTCTCTCTCTCTCTCGCCTCTCTTCCCCTCAGTGTACGTGACGACGTCGAGACCTGACCCTGAGCGTGCGTGCACCCGCCTGCAGAAACGCGCACGATCGGCCTCGTCGTCCTCGTCCTGCACCGCGCGCACCTCTCGGCCTTTCCCTCGTTCGCGGGCTCGACCACGTCGGCGCAGACGCGCAGCGCGACGGCCGCGCTGTCGGTCTCTCGCGCGCGGCGCACCGTCGACCCGTACGTCGAGGCGAGCTGGGCCGGCATGGCCAAGGCGCTGTACCGCACCAAGGTCGTGCGCGGCGTGACCTTGGGCAACCCGGTCGGCGCGAGGGCGAGGGGCGAGGTCGCAGAGAAGAAGGAGGACGGCGGCGAGGCGAGGTGGGAGGAGATGTGCTTCATCAGGGTGCCGCTCGAACCTGTCGAGGACGGAGCCAAGTGCGTCCCTGGCTTTTCTCTCCCTCCTCCTTTCCCGTTCGACGTACTGACTGCCCCGAGCAGGATTCGCCTGCGTGTCCTCGACCACGAGCGCATCGGCGCCTCTCAGTCCGTCCCCTCTCCTCCCGCCCTCGCACCTCCTCGTTCACTCGCTCACCGCCATCGCGCCCGCAGCTCGCTCGGCTACCTCGACCTCCCTGTCCGCGACCTGCACGACCACGCCGGCAAGTGGCGCTCGCACGAGCGCGAGAAGCTGCTCCCAGACGCGGCGAGGGGAGAGACGGAGCGGGGCAAGGAGGACGAGGAGATTGGCGAGCTCGAGTGCAGCGTCGGTGCGTCCCTCGCTCCCTCTCTCTTTATCTCTGCGTCTCGTCACGCTGATACTGACGAGCGTACTCGCGCGCAGCGTTCTTCCCGCTCCTCGAGAAGCTCGAGGGCGAGAGCGACGCCGAGAAGAAGAAGCCCGACCTCATGGCCGACGTCGACTTTGAGCACCGCAAGGCGCTCGACGCCGACGAGCACGAGAAGCAGAAGCGCACTCGCCTCGACGCCGTCAAGGACCTTGTGCGATCGCCCACGTCTCGCCCCCTCCCTCCTCGTCGCCCGCACTGACCCTCGCCGATGAACAGCTCGCCGGCAACCCGTCCGCTCCGCCCTCGCACCCGTCGGGCATCCTGTCGTACCAGATCCACTCGGTCGCCGACCTCGAGCTCGACAAGCGCGTCGGCGCCGTCCACGCCGGCCTCAAGCGCCTCAAGCCCGGCACGACGTTCAAGGCCATGCGGCGCGCCGAGCTCCCGAGCACGTACGTCCAGGCCGTCCTCAACGACGAGATGGTGTTCCGCACCAAGCTGTCGCCCTTCTCGAACGGTGCGTCCCCCTTTTTCTCTCCATCGTCGTCCGTCCGAGCGAGACGGGCAGGACCTGACGAGGTTGTGCCGCCCGCAGCTCCGACCTTCAACAGCGGGAGCGAGACGTTCGTGCGCGACTGGACGCAGGGCATGCTCAACCTCGCCGTCATGGACTATCGCGACCGAGGTGCGCCGTCGCCATTTCCCTCCTTCCCACGTTCGTCGCCCTGACTCTCGACGCCCGCAGACCACGACGTCCTCGTTGGCTACGTGTCCATCAACCTTCACGACGTCCTCTCGAAGCAGGCGCAGCTGTCCAAGTGCGTCTCGGTCCTCCCTCTCTGCCCTCGCCGCCGCATCGCTCATGCCGACCTCGTCCTGCGCAGGTGGTTCCCTCTCCTCGGCGGTTCCGGCGCCGGCCGCATCCGCCTCTCGCTCCTCTTCAAGCCACTCGCGCTCGACCTCGCCCCGTCGCTGCGCGAGTGGTCCGTCGGCACGGTCCAGATCGTCGAGGCGTCGCTCGAGGGCCTCGGCGAGCGCAACTTTGCCGGCCGCCTTAGCCTCAAGCCGGACGAGGGCCAGGTCGCGAGCGTCAATGCGGTACAGCGTCAAGGAGAAGACGGTGCGTCGCACTCTTTCCTCGTCATTCGGCCATCCTTGTCGAGCTCGACCTGACGGTCCGTGCACCCGCCTCGCAGACGACGCCATCTCGTTCGACCTGTCGTCCAAGCCGGCGTCGATCCCGGTCCTGTCGCGCATCGCGCCCATCAAGGTGTCGGTCCAGGGCGTCGCGGCCGGGCTCAAGCACTCGCGGCCGGCGCTTGCGCGCGGCCTCATCCACGTCAGCGACGTGCGCTCGGGCGAGACGGTCGACATCACGGTTCGACTCAGTCGGTGCGTCGCTCTCTTTCTCTCTCTCTCTCTGTCTCTCGTGTGGAGGCGGTACTCACTCGGTCGCCGTGAGCAGGGACAAGAAGGCCGTCCTGCCCGAACCGGGTCCGCTCCCCTCGCTCAAGGGCAAGGTCCGGGACGACGACGACCTTTCCTCCTCTCGCTCGCCGGCCGACTCGCCTCGTCCACCTCCTTCGCATCGCGACGACGACAACCCGCCGATCATCCTCACCCTGCGCGCCCGCTTCGTCCCCGGCCTCTCGTCCCTCCACGGCGACGTCGTCCTCTCGGCTTCGTCCTCGGCCCGCGCCGCCTACCAGCTCTACCTCCATCGTCGCGACTACGAGGCGCAACTGCGCGCCTCGGCCGAGCACGCCGGCGCCTCGTCCGACGAGCACGCGCCCGACGGCGAAGAGTGGGAGACGGCGACCGACGCGGGCGGCGAGGGCGGCGCGGCGGGCGAGATTGTGCCGCAGCGGGACGGGACGCGGTCGCGCAAGGGTGGGTCCTTCAGGTGGGTGCGGCACAACGCCAAGGTGCTGGCGCGCAAGGTCAAGAAGGCGAGGGCGCACCAGCTCAACGAGCCCAAGCCCGAGACCGAAATCCAGGCGAGCCTGTAGCGAGGGCGTTCGAGCAGTGCAAGCTGTGTAACTAGCTCTTATTCTGTCCGTTCTCGAGCAAAGAAAGTTGCTCTGCGAAAGAGCAAGGAACGTCGAGGGAGAGACGGCGTCTCGAGTTGGCTTTGCGAAGGTCGTCGGCGAGGGAGAGAGCGACTGCCGCATTCGCGTATGCCAGCAGCTCACCCCTGAGCGACTCTGGACCCATTCGAGGCGAGAATGAGAGACAAGGGGCAAAGAGAAAGGAGGATCAGCGATGCTGGGTCCGAGCGAGCCTTCCCAAGTGACAAGTTTGCTGAGGACAACGCTCTCGCGGACGGCTCTCTCTCTCGCGACCAAAGTCAACCTTGTCGAGCTCGACTCTGAGCTCGAGGCGAGCACCCTGCGCGAGAGCCCTCAGGAAGAGCGAGGCTGTACCGCGAGAAATCGAGTCCCTCCTCCTGATGGGAGTCGCTCGGAATCGTCTGTCGCGGTCCACACAGCACTCGGCATGGCAGAGATGCGCCAGAGCTACTCGCACACCTTGACTGCAGCACTCGCATCTCGCCGCACCTAGATCGGCGTCGTCGTCGCTATTCTCGCTCTCGTCGAGCACCGCCTCGTCCTCGCTCCTGCTCGCTTTCTGCTCCCGCTCGAAGCTCAGCCTCTACCTCTCATGCGAGTAGAGATAGCCACTAGACTGCACGCCGCGAGAGCTACTCGGAGCCCTCCTCGGCCTCCTCGTCAATCGCGCTCAGACCGTCCTCGTCCTCCTCATCGTCCTCTTCTCCCCACTCTTCGTCGTCCTGCTCATCGTCCTCCTGCTGCTCGCCCTCGTCGACCTGCTCCTCGTCCTCTCCCTCGCCCGCCAGCTCGCCGTGAGCGCCGTGCGCGCTCAAACTGGTCGCGGGCGCGCCAAAGCCCGCGAACGAGAAGCCGCTCGGGCCGCCCGCCTTGGGCGTTGCGGACGGCGTCGTCGAGCCGAACCCGCCGAACCCGCCGCCGCCGAGCGAGAACGAGGGCGGCTTGGTCGGCGTCGCAGCCGGCGTGCCCGAGGGTGACGACGACGACGACGGCGTGAGCGAGAAGAAGCCCGACGACTTGGGCGCCGGCTTGGGCGACGTCGCCGCCGACGGCAGTGCGCCCCAGTCGAAGCTCGCTGCGGGCGAGGGCGCGCTGGCCGTGCTCGGCTTGAGCGCGACCGCCGAGCTGTGCGCGCGCGACGACGAGTGACGGCCCGACCCGCGCGAGACAGGCGAGTTGCCCGTCGAGATGCTCGTCGCGACGGGCTGCGCGAACGCGAACGACGGCATGGCCTTGAACGTCAGGGCCGGCGGACCGCCGGGCGTGCTCGACGAGGGCTGGGTGAAGCCGGGTGCGGCACTGAACGACGGCGCGGCGGGCGCCAGGGCGGCTGCGGCGGCCGGCAGGGGCCGCTTGAGTGCAAACGGCGGCGCCGGCGACGGGATGGGCGTCGATGAGGTCGGACCATGCGGCGTGGGTGTACCGAAGAGGCCGAACGAGCTCGACGTTGGCGTCCACGAGCCGAGGGCGGGCGATGGCGCAGGCGACGGGCGCACGGTCGGGAGAACTGGCGGCGGCGACAGGGCACGGGGCGGTGTCGGAGGCGGAGGAGGCGCCCACCGCCTGGGGCGAGGGAGGCACTCGACCGGGCCGGCGGTGAACGCGCTCTGAAGCTCGCCGATGGACGACGACGAGGTCGAGCCGGCACCGCCGCACGCCGAGCGATTGACGAGCGGCTCGGTGGCCCGGACGGCGAGGAGCGCGCGCTTGAGCGTCGCGGCCGAGCGCTCGGCGACGAGCGCCGCCTTGGCGGCCCGAGCGGCGCTCATCGGCGGCGCGGCGGCCTTGCGCGCCGGCGTCGAGTGCGCCGGCGACGAGCGGGCGACGGATCGGTCGAGAGCGTCGTCAAGGGGGACGAACGACGTCGAGGCACGACGCGCCGTCGCGCTGCGCTCGGCGGGCTGGACGCGCAGGCGGTCGACGCGCGAGGTGAGGGCGTCGAGCTCGTTGGCCTTCTCGGTCGCGGCGACCGTGATGTTGCGCAGCGCACGACTGATCGAGTCGAGCGATGGGGCCCTGCAGAGGCGAAAGGACATGCATGTCAGTTCTGGTGGCGCAAGAGGAGCGAAAGAGACGGGCGAGGGACGGACTTGAGCGACGGGCGGCCGTGCTTCTCTTTGGCGAGCTGGTCCTTGAGGCCGAGCATGTGCTCCTCGAGCTGCTCAATCTTGGTGCGCACGGCGTCGACCTGGAGGCGGATACGGCGCTGGTTCTCGCTCTGCTCGGAACCGAGCTGGCGCACGCGGACCATCTTGGCGAACGCCGGGTCCTCGCGCGCGCGGATGAAGCGCGCCGCCTCCTCGCGCTTGGTCTCGGCTGCGGATACGGGTACGAGAGGGTGAGCGACTTGATCTAGGGGGCGAGAGAGGACGAGAAGGGAGATCGAGACGCACACTTGAGGAGCTGGCTCTGGAGCTCGACGATGCGCTTCTTCTGGGCGACGGCGGCGGCATGCAGCGACTCGACACCTGGCTTGGCGCTCGCCGTCAGGTCGCGCAACTTGCCGAGGTCGCCCATGGCCCAGTCCTTGGCCTCGTAGCTGCACGGCTCGCCAGGTCGGGTCGACTGGTACGGCTTCTCGAGGTCGGCGACGAACGACTTGACGGACGACGTGTCGTCGCGCAGCTGCAGAAATGTGGCGAAATCGCGTCAGTGACAGTACGTTCGAGAGAGGGAGGCGATGAGCGAGAGACGCACACGCTCAAGGTCCTGCTGCACGCCGAGGTACGCTCGGAGGAACTCGCCGGCCATGCCCTGCTCCTCGACCTGCGGCACCGGCGCACTGCCCGCCGCGACGAGTTGAACGCCGAACTTGGGCACCTTGCCCTCGACGAGCGGGCTCTGCTTGGGCGCAGGCGCGACGACAGGAGCGGCGACCTTGGCGGACGTCGGCGTCGGCGTCGGCGCAGGAACGGGCGAGGACGGTCTGGGCGCAGCGGCGGGAGCGCCAAGGCCAAAGGACGGCGCCGTCGGCTTGGCGGCGTCGACCTTGGGCGCGCCGAACCCGCCGAACCCGCCGAACGACGGGGCCGCGACGGGCTTGTCGGTGACAGCGGGCGGCGGCGCACTCGTGGTCGCTGCAGGCGGCGCCCCCGAGCTGCCACCGAAGCCGCCAAAGTCGCCGAGCGAGGACGGCGGAGGGGCGGCGGGCTTGTTCGCCTCGGTCGTGGTCGGCGCCGAGGTCGGCTCGGGCGCGAACGAGAAGGCCGGCTTGGACGCCTTGTCGTCCACCTGCGGCTGCGGCGCGAGCGGCGAGCTGATCTTGGGCGCCGCGTTGCCGAACCCACCGAACGCGCCGAACGACGGGACGCCGTGCGGGGGCGCGGCGAGCGGCGAGCTGGTCCTCGGCGCCGACGACGCAAAGTTGAGGAACGACGGCGGCTTGCTCGTCGCGGCGTCGGCCGCGGCGGCGCCCGTGGTCGACGAGGGCGAAGGCGAGGGCGCAGAGGTGGCGGCAGGCGCAAAGCTGAAGGGCGTCTTGGCGGGCGAGCTCGATGAGGTGGTCGAGGTCGCGACGGCAGGAGAAGGGGAGGGCGACGGCGACGCGGGCGCGGCAAAGCTGAACGCCGGCGGCTTGGTCGAAGCTGCGGGTGTCGGCGAGGCGGTGTCGGGGTCGGTTGCGGCCGGCGAGGGCGGGGCCGGGCTCAGGCGAGAGAGGAGCGACGGCTTGGACGGCGACTCGTCCTGGGCCTCGTCGTCGTCGCCGGACACGTCCTCATCGTCCTCGTCGTCCTGCTCCTGCTCGTCCTGCTCTTGGCCGTCCTCCTCGTCGTAGCTGCCCTCCTGCTCCTCGTCGTCGTACTCGCCCTCGTCCTCGTCCTCGTCCTCGTCTCCTTCTCCCTCCTCGCCCGACTCGTCCTGCGCGCCCTCTTGCGCGCCGAGCCTGCTCAGGAGGCTCCCCTGCGCCTCGCCGAGCCCAACCTCGGCGCGCTTGCGCTCCTCGGGCGGGCTGCTCGCGAACCCGAACAGGCTCTTGGCGCTCGACGACGGCGCCGGCTGCGAGCCGGGAACGTCGAGCGGCTTGGGCGCCGTGCCGCCCGAGCCGAACGCCGACGTCGCAGCCGGCGCGGGCGCGGTCGTCGCCTTGGGCGCGAACGAGAAGCCGCCGGTCGACTGCGGCGGCGGCTTGGCGGCCGACGAGCCGAACGAGAAGCCCGTACTCGTCGACGGCGAGCTCGGCTTGGCGGCCGACCCGAAGCCGAAGCCGCCTGACGACGACGACGTGAACGCGCTGAACCCGCCGGTCGAGGCGGCCTTGGGGAACGAGCTTGTGCTCGAGCCGCCGCCGAACGCTCCAAACGCCGAGGTCGACGGCGAGGGCGCAGGCGCAGGCTTGGTCTCAGCCGTCGAGGTGGCGGCCGAGGCCGGGGCGAACGAGAAGGCGGGCTTGTCGTCCCGCTCGGCGGCGGCGGCGGCGTCGGGCTTGGGCGCGAACGAGAACGTCGGCTTGGGCGCCTGCTCGGTCGCGGTCGGGGCTGCGGGGCCGTGCTTGGACGAGGTTGACGACGCAGGAGTGGCGGTCGAGGCGGCGGGAGCGGGCGACGGCGACGGGGCGGATGAGGGGGTGACAGCGCGAGGGGCCGGCTCGGGCGTGGCGGTCGTGGCGGGTGCAGCCGGTGTCGGCGCCGACGAGCTCGCGACGCCCTTCTTGTCGTCCTCGGGCGCAGACACGTCGAGCTCCTTCTTGATGTCGACCTTCTCCTCGGCCTTGACCGGCTTCTCCTCGACGACGTCCTCGACCGCCGCCGGCTCCTCCTCCTTGACCTGGACCTTGTTCTCCTCGACCTTGGGCGCGAACCCGCCGAACCCGCCCGCCGTCATGCTGGCGCCGCTCGAGGTGAACGAGCCGAAGCCCGAGGAGCCGAACGCAGGCTTGGGCGACGCCGTGCTGCTCGAGGTCGAGGCGCCGAACGGCGAAGATGCGGCGGGCTTGCCGAGCGCGCTCGTCTGCCCGAAAGCGGACGTCGAGCTCGACGAGGGGCTGGCGAACGAGCCGAAGCCGCCGCTCGAGCCGAATGCCGGCGCTGGCGCGGTGGCCGACGGCGAGGCGGCCGAGGTAGACGCGGCGGGTGCCGAGGCGGTCGACGACGGCGGTGCGGCGAAAGCGGCGAATCCGCTCGGCTTGACCGTACCCGCCGTCGAAGTGGGCGCGAACGAGAACCCGCCAGACGACGTCGCGGGCTTGCTCGACGCCGAGAACGCCCCAAACGCGGTTGGCGCCGCATTCGCCGCCGGCGCTGGCGACGGCGTGCCAAACCCGAGGCTGCCGAGCTCGATGCCGGCACTCGACGAATCTGCGGCGGCGGCGGCGGCGGCGGCCGTCTGCTTCTTGTGCGCCGCCGCCTCGCGCATGCTATCGCCGAGGTCGAGCCCGGTGCGAGTCGGGTCGAGGTCGGGCGGCTCGTCGGCCCTCGCCGTGTCGTCGGCCATGCCGTCGTCGTCGTCCGACGCGTCCTCGTCGTCCGAACCGGTCGTCGTGCGCCCTCGCGCCGAAGTCGACGTCGGCGCGAACGAAAAGCCCTGCTTGGTGCCCGTCGTCGCGGTCGTCGACGCGAGCGGCGAGGGAGCGGCCGGCGCGCCGAACGCAAAGCTGCTCTTGCCCGCCGTGCCGCCGCCGAACCCGCCGAACCCGGCTCCACCGCCGGGCGCGCTCGAGCTGAACCCGCCGAAGCCGGCGGCGGGAGAGGCCGACGATGCAGCCCCTGCCGTGGCGCCGAATGCCGCTGTCGAGCCGAACGCGGGCGCCTTGCTCGCCGCGCCGCCAAACGGCGACGACGATGGTGACGCGAAAGCGCCGCCCGATCCGAACGGCGAGCCGCCTGCAGGCTTGGCGGCACCGGCGGCGGCCGAGGCGAAGGGCGAGCTCGACGCTGCGCCTGCGCCGAACGCGGCAAACCCGCCGCTCGAGGGCACGCTCGCGAAGCCGCCGCCAGTGGTTGGGGTCGAGGCGGCGGCCGACGCGGGCGCGGCAGTCGACGAGGGCGAGGCGAACGAGCCGAACGCGGACGTCGTGCCGAATGCGGGCGTCGTCGAGGGCTTGGCGGCAGTGCCGAACGGCGAGGAGGAAGCGGTGCCGAACGGCGAGGAGGACGGGGCGCCAAAAGGCGAGGTCGAGGCAGGCGCGCCGAACGGCGAGGTCGTGGCGGCGGGCTTGGCGAACGCGCCGAAGCCGCTTGGTGCGGCGGCGGCGGCGGCGGCGGCGGGCTGGCTCGGCGCCGCGGCGGGTGCGGGAGCCGGCGCGCTCTGGACGTCGCGCGCCTCGACCATGCCCGGGTACCGCCCTGCGCCGTCCTTGTCGTTGCCGACGACCCAGTACGCGACGACGCCCTCGGACGTGTACACCATGAGGGCCGGGCCTGGGGCGCGGGCGCCGAGAGGTCGACCTCGAGCGCCATGCAGCACACGTCGTTGCCCTCGGGGCCGAGCGGGAGCGTCGGGCGGCACGTCTCGGGGAGGGACAATGTCGCCCACTCGCCGGCGCTCGACGTTGAGGCCGAGGCCGAGGGCGGGTACGACATGCCGAGGGAAGGCTCTTGCTGCGCGAGGACGGCGATGTCGCCCGATGGGGCCGACGCCTGGAACAGGAGGTGCTTGAACGGCGCCCTGTGGGTGAACACGCTCGTCAGGGCAAGGACTTGGGAGAGAAAGGGTGGGAGGCGAGGGGGAGAGAGAGCGGGACGCACCAGCCCTTGAACCGAGCCATCCACCGCCTGCCCTGGCGCTCCATCATGCCAAAGGGCGGCGCCGGGTCGCCATACCGCGTCTCGCTCACCGACCCGTCGGCCGCCCGTGTGAGGACAAACACCTCGTCCTCGTGCTGCGGCTCGTCGCCCGACCCGGGCGCCGTGCGCGGCCGCGCAAAGGTCGCGACGAAGACGTGGTTCTCGAGCCACTCGAGCGCGCGCACCTCGTAGTCGGCGTCGAGGCTCGCCGGGCGTGCGACCGACGCCTTGTGCTCGCCCTGCGGCGTGAACTGGGCGATGCCGCCGCCGTCCGAGGGCGGGAGGCCGACGGCGAGCTGCTTGCCCTTGACGGACCAGCACGCGGCGGTGGCGCGGGTGGGGAAGGTGGCGCTCGGGGTGAGTGAGGAGGAAGGCGACGAGAGGTCGTAGATGGCGAGGTGGGACGAGGGCGAGAGGACGGCGACGAGGGCCGACTCGGGCGCCGGGTTGGCGCACAGGTCGAGGAGGGGCTCGGGCGAGCTGGCCGAGATGGTCGCGTGCGGCGTGACCTGCGAGGGGGACGGCGAGTGAGTTGCTGTTCGGGCTCGTGGCAGAACGAGAATAGAGGAGGAGGGACGCACGTCTCCACCGACGAGAGCAGCGAGGCGCCAGGCGACGACGCTGCCGTCCCTCAGCCCGGCAACGACGAGCGTGTCGCCATAGGCGAAGCGGACGAGTCGACGGTGCACTGGTCGAGATGCGGGTGGTCGGCTGGGCGT